TAGGTTTAAATGTACAACAAATTTCTTCCAGTCAGAGAATGTTGCATATAATTTAATTTTTGCTTGATGCATAAAGTTAAAAGATTAAAACTAACAAAACAAGTTTTAAAAAGAGACTTTTCCATTTGATTACATTTTGTATGATGGATTATGCAGAAAAAGTAGAATTGGTCCTGAAAGATCTATCGCTTTATCACCTACTCAGGTTGTAAATCGTGTTTTTAAAAAGTAACTAAGTAATTAATTACTTTTGACAATAAGTAATCAGTAAAGTAATGGGATTACTTTTTGGGTAAGTAATCAGTAATTAGTTACTGATTACTTTTTTCAAGTAACTTGACCAACACTGGTTATAACCATATGAAACCAAAAAAATAAAAAAATCTCAAAAATAAACTCACAACTAACTTACTTTTAAAGGACAAACAACACAAGACATAACTTCCTATGAAACATTGACAATTTGTAACACTACTTTACAAAGTTCCATTACTAAACAATATACTCAGTAACACAAACTGTTAGGACCACGCAGCACCAGGAAACCGGGCGAGGCAAAGAAAACACATTAACAGGTGTTTTTACATGGAGACAGAATTATTTTACCACCAAACTTGTTAAGACTAACTCCAAACGGAGTTCAAAGCTACATTTTATGGCTTTGCTGTGGAAACATCAACACAAACAAGCCAGATGCTGACTTTATATGGTAACACAAATTGGCATTACAGTTTACTTCATTTCCCTCTTGTTAGCAGAACAGTGGAGCATTTATTTTATTTATGATTTATCTATTTTTATGAGGATATTAAAATCTCGTACTCCCCAGGCAGAAGAATGAGCCATTGCCAAAATACAGAAAGGCCCATTTATGCAAATAATAATAAAAAATACAATGTTATGGAGCAAGAGTATGAAACATGCAAGAGTATGCAAGAAAAAAAGTGCCTTGATACAAATGTTTGGTCATGCTGCTCAGCACTAACATGGAATCACATATTTGATAAAATGAAAGAAATGTTTGTTTGTCATTTAGGATCTGCAGGCCCTTTACCCTCTGACCTATGTGTTGACATTTCATATCTATGATAACAATAACAATATTAGTATACATTAGCTACATTTCAACATTGGATGTTATATTTACAGTTAAACTCACCACTCCACTTGAAGACTTAGTCTTCACATCAAGCTTGACGAGCCCAAAGCCTGCAAAGACAATGACAGTGAGATACTACTTCTTGTGCTTGGAAAAGGCATTTCCAGCCGCAGACCTGACCTCTTCAGGTCAGCAAATACACACTTATAAAGGTGCCTTTTATCTTTCTTCCAGTTACCATATCCCTTATTGAAGATGTCCTTTGCTGATTTGCCCAGGTCTGCATATGCTGGAGGGACTGCCATTCTGCCTATACACACAAGAGAAAAGTGAATGTAAATGGTGACACAGGAGTATAAAAAGCAGCTTGCTTTTAAAAGCTTTTTAAGTTAGTTAATAAAAGAATTAAAACCAAGCATATGTATAGACATGGGCAAAATGTGCGTCTGTAAAGTGTGATAGCTGTGGCTGTCAAATGGAGAGGAAAGTTACAAATTTTACAACTGGAAATATTTTTAAATTCTTGTTCTACTGTTAACTGCTTTAAACTCAATGATGGTGAAACATTATACAGTGAATGCCTTAAGCAACCAAAAAAAAAACTAAGAGAGAAGTAGTAAAATCCCAGCTATTATAACCTTGACTACAATTAATGTTTCTGTCAAGTATTTGTAATTCAGATTTTATTTTAATATTTATTTGTTTAACTGCTGTCACTAGCTATATATAAAGACACGAGTTCAGGTGTCTGTCACCTTATTCTCAAGGTTAGACCGACGTTTTCAAGTAATCAGAGCATGGAGGTTATTGGTTAAGAAGGCAAAACGCTATAACAGATTGCATACAAAAGAGGTTTAAATAGTATGGAAAAAACTAAGTGAGCATCTGGGTCATGGATTCAATAAGTGAACTGAGCTTTACTTTGAAGACGTTATCAAAATTAAAGAGTGTTAGTTGAATATACATTTATTTTCCATGCAAATACTTGCAACCACAGCACTGAGTGTAGTAAGGGCATAAAATTACATACAGTCTATGGGTAGGGGGCGTTTTCTAGCTAGCAAATAGAATGTCTGACAGCAGTACCCCTGCACTACAACAAATAAAACACGGATAACGTGTGTAAATACTCAGCCTATTACTTACCGAGAGTTTCTTCTCTTTATTATATACCCACTAACTTGACAGATAAGAAAAGCTGCGGAATGAGCGAGTACAGCCGGTGTAGGACGATATGGAGGAGACACCGCAGCAAACAACCTGCTGACCTCGGCTCAGCAGGACCCGAAAATATAGCTGTGCGTTTTGTGCCCGACTGAAATAGGAATCATGTAGTAATTGTTTAAATTATATGGATATTAATTTATACATAAATTATATTTTACAACAGGAAACTGAATTTTGAAAAAGCGACTTTCACGTTAATAATGCGAGAGGTCTTCCAGGCAAATGGAAGACCTCTAAATCACTATGGCAACCTATATACTACTGAAAGTTACGGGCTTATGCATACAGAGCTGTACAGAAATCAGCTATAGTGCTACATTGGTGCCGCTCACCAAATCTAACGTATTATTCACAGGTTTTACATAATCAGGAGGAAAAGCCTTTGATGACAGGATACACTCGTGGATCACTTTATTAGGTACACTTCTTTACCTGCTCGTTAAGACAATCTTGTAGCAGGCCCTAGCATGACAGAAGAGAGTCTTTAACGGGGCATTCGCTTATTTTCTTCATCAGGAGACGTATGGTAGTTCTGAGGAACTTCTGAACATTTTTGGACATCGTTTGAACGCAGTGAAAGCTACAAAATAAAATATATAGTTGTTTTGTTGTGTCACAACATGGCACAGTCTGTGACTTCAAGCACCAAAGGAGTGCAAATAAAGTGAGAAAAATCCGAAAATAAGTGCTCAAGAGTTATACATTAAGTCATTAATGAATATAAAGTAAAGTATTTAAATACACTTGTATCTAAGTGCTGCACAATGTCATCTCATCGCAAACCTCGATCCGCTTGCAAAGCGTGCAAACACCTGCGAGCGTTAAACATTCGTCTCTTTTTCATGCTAGCTTGAGAAACACGTGTCTGAGCTAAAATTAGCACATAGATGCTAGCAGCATAAGTATAGAAAGAGAAAGATGCGAACATTATAATGTACCTTACACGACAAACATACAGAGAACACTGAAGTTTAATCTTTGTAACTTACACAAAATTGTTTTGTTGAGAGCGCCAGATTTCTCCATACTGTTTAAGGGTTACAAACCTTTTCCCGGGTTTTGTCTTTCTTGTTCTTGGGAAACTTCCGTTGCCGTTATTTTAGGAAAAGGAAATTTTTTGTACTTATCTAATTCGCACATTAATTGCAAGCAAACAGAGTATTCAGAAATTCCTAAGAAAGTCTACTGGGATTTCCCCAAATAACCATATACAGTTTAAAGAGACTGATCGGAAAAAGAAAAGCTGTCCAGTGACTGACAGTTCTCTGGGTGAAAATGCTTTGTTGATGACAGAGTGCAGGAGAAAGGCCATACCGATTTAAGCTTCCCGAAGGGACTCAAATAACCACTTGTTACAACACCGGACAGGACAACACTAATGGGGATGGCTCCAAGATTCCATACCAGGAAGAACCTATAAGGGGAGGACACAGATGAGGACATTTTTTCCATGTGCTGAACTTCACATATCAGCACTTGATGAAAGGCGACTTTACCAGCTATTTGATCACCTTAGGCTTTATCAGCGTGTGGTATACACACAAAGACTCCATGATGGGGAAGAGATTCAGCAGCTCATTGTCCTAGAACCCTTGCAACATAAGGTATGCAAGAGCCAACATGAAGATGGGGGCATTTCAGTGCAAAGAGCACCCTCAGTCTGTTGAGGAGGAGCCACTGGTTACACTGGATTACACTGGTTAAAGGTATCCAGTACCTAGTGACATTCAGCAATATTACAACACCACTTGAGGTCCTTGCAGTGGACTATGTGGTGATGGTGAGCCGGATGAACAGGTAGAGACTGCTGAGGCCTCTGAAGCAAGTGATGAGGCTCAAAGCAGCTCTGTGAATAGCCCAGTATCTTTCCCATTGACTTCCACAGAGACATAAAGACATGGTTTCTCCCTTCTTTTTGTTGGACTTTTAACCTGATATTTAATTGGACATTTCAGCTGCTGTGGTTATAACTCTGATGGACTAGGACACATTAAGAAAAAGACTGCGTGTGGGACCATATTCAAGGACTTTTGTTACTCACTACTGATTACAGACTTTAGGAGCATGTTTTTATCAGCATTGTGGGTCTTGTTATATTCGTGACACAGTATTAATCATTCCAGGGCGAGTGAATAAATACCATCTGAAGGCTGTTGGGGTTTAAAGGGGGTTATTTGGTTTTATCCCTGTTCAGTAAGCGCTCAGCATATGCTTTGTTTTTTGCGGGTCTGGGCCCTTCTCTGAGTTTCTTGAATGTTTTTTGTAATTTGCCACTTTGTCATTTGGAGCCCATGGTGGCTCACGGGCCACTGAGTTTTATCTTTACAAATTAAAATGTTGACTGTAACATGAATGTATTGAAAACTATGTTGAACCCAAGTTGCCCTGGAGTAAGGGCACCCTGCCAATCAAGCTTGGTGTAGGAAATTAGAGGAAAATTGTGTTAGGCTAGATTCCTGTCTGTGGGCGCAGTATACTTCAGGTTGCCACCATGTCAACACAAGTCGCTCTTTAATACCTAAAGCAGTGCCCTGTAACAATAAAATACACATTTAACTCAGCCTGTCAATTTTCCAAATGATTGCTCTTAAGCTCTGGCAACAGCGCGCATTCCCCAGGTGGTCGTACAGCAAGTGGGGCAAAATAAATAGATAAATAAAAAAGGAAAGGAAACTCCTGTTTCAGCTCTTTATTGATGGAAATGACTGTCGGGACAAGAAGTTTAATGGCTCTACAGTAGCACATAAACACATCCTACTTCTTCAGTGAAGGGATGTGTTAAGACTGTTAACTCCACTCAGAGTCATGTTTCTAACATGCTGCAATGACGATGATCTTTTACGATTCTCTCAATGAAATGTACAGGACAAGCTGGAATATGTAAATTAAATAACACGTGTTTCCAACGAATACAGAGTTTGAAGCAACTGTAAACATAATTCTCTATGTGCACATTGCTGCAACCTTGTACACAGAATATAAAAATACCTATTGACATTTATAAAATGGAATAAATTAATCTAAACAAATACAAATTTCAGCATCTGTTTACTACATATTAACATCAAAGAATTAATATCAAGAAAAGGTTGTTGCACTTGGTCTAAGTCTAGTAGTTTACACTGAATGTGGACTTCTTAAAAAACCTATACATATATTCAACAGTAAACATGAGCAGTTTGGAATAATTCTTCACAGAGAAATGTATCACAGTAACACTCCAGGTAATTGGCAAATGGAACTATGTTTAAGACAGCTGGATAAAACTTTATTCTAACTTTTTTGGCTGATAATGTCATTTCCTTAAATGCATATTTTCTAGGAAATAGCAGGCGATGTCATGAGTAAAGACACAAGATTCGGTGTATGTCGTTTATCTGAAAAGGAGCCATGAATTTCTGTTTCAGTCTTTAGTAATGCTGTCAAAATGTCAGCGTGTTATAAAGGAATGCAGAAGATTGAACAAACATGATGACAAATGATGTTTTTCTATATAACATAATATGAATCTATACATATTGCTTTAACAGTGGTCCATACAGATACATACATACATCGTTTTTTAGAACTCAAATGTGGGATATGAGGAAAAACTCAAGAATCCAGATCCAGATAGCTTAATTGCACAGTTTCCTGTAAAGGTTTAGATGCATTTTTAAATGAGAATTTATTTCATAATTTTCTTGCTATCCAAACAGTCTGTAACAGATGTCATTGTATTGTAAAATCAAACTGGGATGGGGCTTTTTAGAAACTCTGCAGGTTTTTTTGTTTAAAAAGAGACAATAAAAGCAGGTTAGGAGCTAAATCCTAAAATTTAAAAGGATATGGCTCTGTGTATTCCATCAGGCCTTGTGCGGCTCATATTAGGCGTCTTTTTCGCACACCGCCTCAGTTGGCAACTTGACAAAGCAGACGAAAGAACACTGTCTGTGTCTAACAGTACTGCTGCAGGCTGCTTATTATCCGATCAGCCTCTTTAGCACAGCAGGTCTAGAAAAAGGCCAGCAGTACTCGTTGGGGACCGGCCCGTTGACATTGCACTCAAAGAAGGAGAACATGGGGAACCAGATGCGAGCTCTCCGGCTCTGCTGGTAGGCCCGAGTGTTAGCTAGGGTGTGGTAGTACAGGAAGAGTCTGGTAGTGATGTAGAAGGCTATGAACACGTCAATGGAGTAGTGTTCATGCGCAGCCAGGATGAAGAAGATGCCGAAGAGGTTGAGCACCCAGGACAAAGTGTGGATAAAATTCCAACTTCTTGGAGTGTCTGTGTAAATCAAAGACGGAAGAGCGTTACTGAGCACTTTATGTGATTCCATTCTAAAATGTGGCACATTGTTAAGTCTGTTAAAGTTATTTTCATTCACATATTTAATGTAAAAATATTTTTCTGCTTGTGGCCCATCTTAGGCACAAAGCTCTCAGCCACTCCTACCTGCTATTCAAGCTTTTTGTTTAAATCAGAAAGAAAGAAGGGTGGCTCTACAGGAGGAGGAGCTGAAATGGCTTGCTACAGACACTGGAACTGAGGATGAATCATACAAAGTTTCTCTTGCAGAATCAAAGACTAAAAATATTTCAATGGAAACAACTATAATAGGTTTATTATTAATTTTCAAGAAATACTTGCAGTACCAGTAGCGGACACTGGATGGCAACATAGGGACACCTTCTCCAAATATGGCTAATCTATGTCTGCTTTATCATTTACTACCACTATAGGGTTTATTGTACTGTGTACATAATAATAGTGCTCTTTAGACTTGGATTGAAATTAATAAAGCAACAATATTTTTTTTTAAATCAAGTTTTAATTATATAGGACCAATTCACCCGTCCTATGCATTCCTTGAACATATATGCACATTTAAGGTCATATCATGGTAAACCTGACTCCCAAGTTTCCACACAGTGTTACTGTTGGCCAAGGTACTGCCACCCAGAGCAAGCATCTAATACGACAGCATGTTTAACAGGATTTATAGAAGGTAAGGGCCAAGTTCAATAACCTCAGTTTTATCTGAATTTAGAAGCAAGAAATTTGAGGTCACCCAGGTCTTTATGTCTGTAAGACATTCCTTAAGTTTAACTAAGTGGTGTGTCATATCTGGCTTTGTGGATAAATAAAGCTGGGCATCAACTGCACAGCAACAAAAATGTATGTTATGCTTCGAATGATACTGCCTAAGGGAAGCATGTATAATGTAAATAGAATTGGCCCCAGCACAAAGCCCTGTGGAACTCCATAATTTACCTTATTGCGTGAAGAAGATTCCCCATTTTACATGAACAAATTGGTGTCTATTAGGTAGATATGAGTCCAACCACTGCAATGCAGCATTTTTAATTCCTTTAGCATGGTGTAATCGCTGTAATAAAATATTGCTGTCGGTAGTATCGAAAACTGCACTGACATCTAGCAGGATAAGCACAGAAATAAGTTCACTGTCAGAAGCCATAAGAAGATCATTTGTGACCTTCATTTATGCCTTATTGTGTACTGTGATGAGTTCTGACACCTGACTGAAACTCTTCAAATAAATTAGATCAGTTAGCTGTTGGCTAATGGACTAATATGGTTTGGAATCCATTAACCTGGAAACATACAAATTCTCTCACATGTGTTAGTTAATGTCTAAAATGTTTATTTACTTACAAAATGAGGGGTTTTAGGGATTAGTTTTGAAATCATTGCTCATTTTCCAATTATAATTCCAAGTTATTCCAAGGCCTTTTCATCTCATCTTAGCACAAGTGTGTTTTCCTCCTCTCAGAAAACAGAAACAGAAGCTACTCACATTCTGTGACAAAGAAGTTGAGCATGGTAAGGACCACAGTGTGGCCACTGAACATGTAGTCGCCACATGTGTGAACCCCTGTCAGTGTCATCCCAAAACCGCTCCAGATGGCCACAGCTCGCTGTAGTTTGGCCCACATGTCGCCGTACATCTAGAAGGAAACAGGCAATACTCTAATCTTGCAAAGAGATCTGATACATGAGAAAAAGAGAAAAAAGATGCGTTACCTTTCCTGAACACTGCAGGTGCTGTCCTGGAACAGACAGGGAAGTGACAAACATGGTGATACAGCGCAGCATGAACACCGTCCCCATGAGGCTGCACATCCGCCGCAAGAGAATGGACCTAGAAGTAGTGAAATGTGAGTTTCCTGTGCTACTGACAGGCTCCTGGGATCGTTCAGAGCACCTACTGACCTGTGTTTATGGAGCAGCAGAACCAGCATCCAGATGTTACAGAGGATCACTCCACATGCCTCGGCCATGGCGAATGCCCAGGGTATTCTAGGCACACTGTGGAAAAGGACAACATCAGTGCTGAAATAACAGATTGAAAGTGAGCATTTATAGCTGATGTTGCTTAACATCTTACAACAAACATGACAGAAAAATTAGTTTGGTGTTTTGGTATATTAGTTTTAATAAATCATTTCAATGCATATAGATGTTATCTCCCAAGATATCTCTTTTGGAGATAATTAACTAGCCTGAATAATTTGCCTCAGTGTCTTGCCAAACACACACTGGAAATTCCTTGAAATAATCTCTCCTGGTAAGTTTTCATTTCATGAAAAGCCCAAAGCTGGTCATAAACAAAAGTAGGTCACCTTATAAACAATCCTCGAAGGTCTTTTTGAACCTCAGCGAGCACATCAGGAGTATATGAGGACAATAATAGAAACACGCTATAAGGAATTAGGGCAGTTATAATGTCAGCGATTTGGTGTGATACTCAAACATCATCGTTTGTGGTATTTCAGAGGTGATTAACGTTTTTGTTGTAAGAAAATTTAAGAAAGCTCTTGTGAGCGATCACACCCACCTGTCTAGAAAAATATCTGGGAGCGGAGGGTATGTGCGCATGTCAGGGACCCTCTCGTGCACGATGACCATGACGAAGGATGTAAACCCAAACACGAACACCACATAGACAGAGCTAAGCACCGTCTTCCAGTACTCGGGATCGAGGCGCCGGATCTGCTGCTTGTACTTTCCATTAGTGTACTGGTGATACTCCTCTCCCACTGGTGCTGTGTCAGTGCTGTCGCAGTCTCTCCCCGGGTCTCCGTTACACAACCAGTCCAAACTGCCTCCGGAACCGGTGGGAGAGTGGCCATCATAGGGAAGACCCAGCTCCTCCAATAAATCAATGTTCTGTTTCTGAAGTTTCCGAATGGAGACCATTAGCCGCTTGATGTCCCCCAGCACCTTGAGCTCCAGTGGCGGCGAGCGGAGGTCGTACTCACTGAGGGCAAGCAGACTGGTGCCATCCAGCCGGTGCTTGTTGCACAGCAGGTCCACATAGTCGCAGAAGCCCTCTTCCTTCAACCACTTGGCAACGTGCTTAGGTGTCCAACGACGGACACTCAGCTGGGTCATTTCCTCCTGACACCAAAGGCTAAAAAGAAGAACAGCCACATTTAAGTTCAGCAGTATCAGTTCCTTATTGGCTTCCAAAACACCATGCAAAATAATATTCAGGATTAGTTTAAGGCACAGTTTATTTGCTCTGAATCAGCAGTAGTAACTTTAAAGACACTATGCAAGACTGCTGCGCAGACAGAAAATACATTCATTTTGTGACAAAATTATAGGTGATAAACAAATTTAAGACAAATCCTGAGTTACACAGGAAATCTGGGTAATCACAACTTATGCAGTTATATGACGCAAGTACTGGCAAGGATTTCCTATGGCACAATGGAAACCACACCCTACAATGTAAGTGAAGGAGCAGCTACATGTTATCCCAGGCCAAACAGTCAATTAAATCCCAAGGTATTATTGTCCTAGTCACATTAAAAGACATTATGACTATTTCTAACTTCATTATTAACCGAAATAAACGCTGCCTCAACAGTCTGCTCCTTGGACTGACAAGAAAGCAACACATTTCTGTGTTTTTTGATAAAATAATTTAAATAAACAGTCCAGCAACTACAGTCGACCTGCAATAACCCATATAATTAACCCATTTAAATATATCACTGGCTAGCATTTAAATCGGGCTTAGAAGCTCTTTGTATACTCCGAAGTTAACTTATCTCAGTATTTTGTCAGGCAACTATCTGGCCTATTAGTATGTAAAGACAAATACGCCAGAGATAAACGTGAAAGCATCCACATGCACCCCTGCCCACGGGGCTAACTCAGCTTAATACTAAAGACTGCTAGCTCACTGGTGCTAGCTCAATCAATGCGTGTGCTTTGCGGTCACTCACCAGCTCTGAGATGTAACAGAAGATGACACAGAATATATCTCTCCGGCTAACTAACGAAGTGACATCTCACAAGAATCAGAAGAAATCTTATTAGCATTTGCTTTAGTGACACGAGTTTGCTGGACATCATTACGCCCAGGCTTTGCGCTAGCTAGGAGTCCTGTTGACAACACAAGGCGGTAATGTCCAGAATAGCGGCGCACGCTAAAAGAAAACGCGGAACAACAGTGAAACAGTGACGCTCTATGGTGAACAGGTGGTACTACACCGTTCTTACGTGTGAAATGGTATGACCAAAAACATTAAATAGAGTTGTGGTTATTTGCTAGGAGACATTAAACCAAAATTAGTTGGGGTGTATTTATATATTTGAGCCAGTTTCTATACATGTGGCCCTCTGTGGATTAGATAATATCCAAAATAGATTCAAACATGTGTCCTCAATTCTCGTTTTTTTAATAAATTAAAATGCATGCTGTACAATCATTCCACCGTGAAAAAAGAACACTTTAAATAAATCATTCAAAACCCCAAAGGACAATGACAATAATGAGCATGATGAGTGTAAACTTCTGACCACAACTATATGTATTTTTGCAACTGATAAAATTAGAAATTATGAGTTGACATAAAATGTACTTTAAAAAAACATTTAGAGATGTACAGCTGGCCTACATTCAGAGTAAGGTAGGTCACTGTTTTAATTTTAGAACAGCAACACCTGTCCTTGTCTGTGGCTGCCAGCGTGGTCTCAGTGAAGGTTTAACAGTTTGAAAATAAATGTTGAGAGAATAAATCATACATAGGGATATGCATGTGGTCAACAATGAACAATCTGCAGGAAAATAGTGCAGCTTCTCCTGCCTCTCCTTCTGTGAAAGACCTTGAGAAGATTTTGTATGGAGGTAAAAGGTTTGGTAATCATGTTGATGAAGTTTGGCCTAACCTGTTCATTGGAGATATGTAAGTCTTTAAAATTGCTCTTGATGGCTTGTACAACATAATCAGCCTAGATCAATTACCAGTTAGAAAGACTGATTGCTTTTTTTCTTTGTAGGTCAGTAGCTAATGATCGCTACAGCCTGTGGAAGCTGGGAATCACCCATGTTGTGAATGCAGCTCATGGGAAGACGCACTGTCAGGGGAATCACTACTTCTATGGATCCACCGTGGATTATTATGGAGTGCCTGCAGATGACTCACCGTCTTTTGACCTCTCTCGATATTTCTTTCCGTCTGCTGAGTATATTCATAACGCACTTGACACGACAAGTGGTAAATACCCATCATGTTTAATGTCAGCCTCTGCCGACCTCTCACTCGTCTCATCCCTTATCGACCACATGCTTTATGCTCACCGTGATATTTTTCTTCTCCTTCCTCTCCAGCTCGAGTTCTCGTCCACTGTGCTGTTGGCGTGAGCAGGTCTGCCTCCATCGTCCTGGCCTACCTAATGATCTACCACAATTACACGCTCCTAGATGCAATCAATAAGGTCAAAGAGCGCAGGTGGATCTTCCCAAACAGAGGATTCCTTAAACAGCTTCGTGCTTTGGATATGAAACTGCAAAAGACTTCATGACCGCTTCAAAAAATAAAGATCTTCTAATGCACATAACCTCAAAACAGCTTTTTCTCCAGACAAATGAGAGACTTGATGACTGTGTCAGTTGAAGGAAATGCTGTGCTTTGACTTTAATCAGTTTGTTTCAGGAATGGAATCTAATCAAATGTATTTCCCCCACAACTCTGGCGCTGTGTTTGATGTGAATTATGCGGCATCTCTATATAATATCGACCCGCGTCTTAATAGGAGATCAATGTAATGAACTCTCCTCTGGGCAGAATCAATTTAAGGGACTGAATATGAGATATTGTTTTTATTTAACCTTAGTGTTGTGTTGAAGAAGCTTTT